TGCCAGAGGAGTTGTTGGTAGGAAAAATAAAATAATGACAATGATAGTAATATAAATTTAACATTTTGAGCATGTATTATTACTTCTTAGACTAAGAACAGTTATATTATATTAACCTTTATGTCAATCCATTGATTTAAGTACTACTAGAATGATTATTATATTCCAAATATCCCAGTGAGAAAATAGAAGCTCAGAAAGGTTAAATGGCTTATCCAAAGCTACGCTATTTATATATAAAAAGGGTCATATCTTATGCCCAGGATTCCTAGAATTAGAGTCCATGCCCTTAGCTCTCTCTTAGCTACTGTCTATGCCTAAAAAGTAGCTGCAACATTCATAAAAAGAGAGCTGGACCACTCAAATTGGTATTCCAACTTCAAATTGATATCTAGGACTACAAAAGGGCAAATATGCTTTGACAAATTGAATTTGATCCGTGATAGGGCTTAGAGCCTATTAACAGTCCTATCTCCTGGTTTGGTGATTATTAATTTCTTACTTCTGGTGGAGATGGGGTAATTTTGTTTTAATTCTTCTGTGTCCTTCAAACAAGAAAATGGCTCCAACTACAATAAAAATTTCTGTGCTGACCCTGGACATCCACCAGCTGCCCCTTTAGCTCACAGCTACTATTTTCACCATGGAGCTCACTCATGCTCTCAAAAGTGAGTATGTAGCTCAAACATTCAATATAAATTATACTTAATCACACTTCATTCACATTCTGATTAGCATTTAAGAGTTTGTCTTTCAAAAAGTTAATAAAATCTACATTCACCTTTTGGTGTTCTTGATTCAAATATGAGAAGATAGCTCTAAACAACTATGACCCTCAGAGTATAATAAATGTTTTATGGTTAAAATGCTAGCTCTCCACCAGAATCACTAGCACATAAAGCTTATCAAATCTTCAAACAGAAGTTCCCTACTGGGCATCGTCCATGAAGGCAGGGAGGATGGCAGTCCCATCCACCACCGTGGGCTCCTGAGCTAGTGCAGGGCACAGCAGGTGGCAGATAATCACTGAAGAGTTTTGGGAGAATAGATACAGCACTCTAATTCCTACTTACTTCCTTCATAGCCCCTTTCTCATAGTCTAAGACTGACACTGTGGGCTCATGTGGAAGAAATGACCAATAGTAACTGGCTTTACTTTACAAAATCTTCCTGCAAGGCCATTTTTATTCACTGAAATTTAAGTTCAGTAAAATTACCTCATCAGTTGATACAATTGATTAGTGGTTATTGCCAAGGCATTGCGGAGGTTACACATGGTTCTTACCTATAGATAGGTTACAATCTCCTGTAATAATATCATTGTCGTTGTTGATATTTTTGACTTCCATATGCTGGTTTAATAGAAGGAATTTTTAGCAAATTTGGAATTGGTAGGAAGTTGCTAAGGAAAACAACAGGATTTTAATTTGCCAGGCTACTTGATGTCCATAATTTTTCATGGTAAGCCTTTTATTTTGGTTTCCTATAAACTCCAAAGTTCATTTAAGTCCTTCCACTTTATAACCAGTACAGATACTTAAACACTCTCCATACTCCCAGCCAAGCAGTTAGGTACTATGACGTAGGGAGCATCCACAACGGGATGAAGAAAGAGGGCCCAGAGCATACATTTATTTTTCCTCTTCAGCTTCTTTTATAGACCTGTCCTTATTTCTTTCAGGCCTTGAGACTATATTCCAGGCTGCTTGCAGTATTGTGTAATTCTAATGGCTCCTTCTTTACTTGAACTCCATGTTACACATTGTTAATGCCAAATAAATGTTTCCGCCATTCTTGTTACCATGGCTTTCTTTCCGGGTCTGCGTGCATTAGTAAGTTTAATAGAAGAATCTCATTTATTTGAATAGCTTCACAATTTTGTGCACCTACCATAAAAACAATCAAATTGACACCCTGCCAGGAGCAACCAGAGGAGATCTTAGAAGAGAGTTCATAATGACACTGTTGCCATATTGCATGCCTGTAAATAATTCATTAAGTCAACCACCCTTTTGTTTTAAGCAAATACAAGCAGATGCCTTTTTAAATTGGATGCAGATAACAGTCCTCAGAAAAACATTATTGTAATACGACACTTAAAAAGAATAACCCATTTGCTTTATTGATTTTTGCAGTAGTAATACACAGTGATTACTTCTGTTATCCACTTTGTCTTACTCATGGGCTTTGTCCTTTGCTCTTATTATTTTATACTTGTGTGAATGTGTGTGAAATTTCATTGTTAACAGCAAAAGCTTGGAAAGCTAGTGAGATCAATGCATAATCAGCCAGGCAAACCCAGGTGGTTTTCCTGGTCAACCGTGTCTGCAGGTCTGTGAGTTAGCACCACAAGCAGAAGTTGCTGACTTCTTGACGCAGGAGAATATATGTAACAAGACTATCAGGGAAAATGAAACAGTTTTCAAAAAAAGAAACATCTCTACCATATTTAAAGGATTGATGAGTTACTGTGCTTTATGTCAGTGAATGTATATGTGAGTCATAGTTTGGGGCCAAAAATCATGTTCACATTTTCCAAAAGGTAAGATTTGTCTATGCTGACAGGACAACTTACTTCCTAAATTTATATATTTATTCATTAACTTCTCGTGTTGTTTCAGGAAATATTGTGTCTGAGTCACTTCTTAAAATGGCCATTTTAAAAATTCCCATCCAATAAGCTGACTCTCATTGATTATAATGGTGGTTCACAATGCTAGCCATACATTAGAATCACATGTGGGAGCTTTTATAAAATATGAATGCTTTGCTCCCAGTGATTGGATTGAATTCTTCTGAACAGGCCCCAGGCAATAGATTCCATAAAAGTTCCCCAGGTATTGAACACTACTGCAATTAGCTATTGACTAAATAATCTCATTTATTTAGTCATCATTAATGGTCAACAAAACTGGAAATTTTTGAACATAGCTGAACCTAGTCAGCACAGCAGATTATTGATTATTATCACAAAGATATTAACAAAATTTTAAGATGCTAGAACTGGAAGCAGATTTGGAGATCTGTGGCTTCTCTATGGAGTGAATGTATAGAAATCTCAGAAGATTGCAATGTCGGTAACTATTATGGACAAATTAGAATCCATATATCTCAGAATTCTGTTATTCTACAAAGAATACAAAGGATTTGGATTGGCCCACGCGAAGATAAATATAAAACCACTGGGTCCGGTCCAGAGAGGTCAAGTGGTGCAGAGAGCAGCAGCCTCCAAGGGGCTCTAGGGAAACAAGAACTCAAGCCTGGGAAGTCAGGGAACAGAGAGGAGAAATAGGGAGGACTTCTAATAGTGGTCAGCTCCCAAAGTGGATGCTGAATAGTATGACAACAGGTCCCCTGATAGAGCCTGAACTAAAAAAATGTCATGGTTTAGACAAAAAAAGGGAAACAGTCACAAGATTATAGCAACAATAATTGAGGTTGAGGTTGCTTCTTAGCATCAGTGAACAGCATGCTTCCTATGTAAACTCAGATTAAAGTCAATGTGGTTTGGCTTGGACGAGGTGATGTGCTTGGCTAAAGATAGGCGGGCATAGGGTGGGGGACGCTGTTGTTGATAATCTACACAACTCAGTAGAAACTTTGCTACCTAATAGAATCCTTGGGGAGACCGTGTAAAGGGAAACCTTAAGTAGATGTTCCTGTTGTCACCATTAGTGAATAGATTAGAATATTAGTACAGGTTTCATTGGCTTCTCCAAGGTTCTCATGGTACTCATAACGAGTGGCAGATGGCTCTCCTGACCTGGATAACTAAGCAAGCATTGTCCAGAGCCTCCTCTCTATTAGCATCTGTAAGAAAAATAGTAAAAATAAAATTTTGAAAAGATCTTCTATTAGTCTCACTTGAAATTCTGGTATGTGATTATTTTCAGGAAGATTATGTTTTCTGTCATTCTATAAATAATATGCATTGTACATGCTCTTAATTTTTCTGGTACTAATCAATAACTTTATCACTTTTTCTTTGTAATAATACCTTACAGTATATGCTTTCCTTCTTGAAAAACACAAATATCTTAGAAATGAAATATAGGTGAATTGATAGACATGAAATAGAAAAACTAAGTTCCTTTTTGAAAATAGAAAATATATATCCTTTGTGATGTGGGAGCAACTTTGCCTGCAAAGACCCCTCCCCCCCCCACCCCATCCACCATGGATGAAAGTGAAACTAAGAAGGCATGGTCAGCTTGGGGAGGAAAGGTGACCAATGTCTCAGAGGAAAATGGCCAAGAGCCCCTTCCTCAAGGGGCTTTTATTGGGTTTGTTTGCAGAAGACTACAGGTAAAGATCAAACAATAGATAGCTTTCAAAGAACCATGAGGGCGTATTCTGAGTCAGGGTCAGACAGCTAAAGAGCCATAAAACTTTGAGGAACAAACTTCTTGCTTGGACCCTTATCATTTAAATGAGAGCATTCTAAACAAAGCAGGGTTCACAGGATTTTACATATTCTTTCTTAGGCCTGATCACCCAGGGAACCTGCCCTTTCCAGTGCAGGGCTGCACCAGCTTCCTTGTTATAGGTTTTTAAGCTTAAGTGGATTAGAGCCTGGAAGTGCTTCTCCCAGATGGAAATGGGGACTTGAGCTATGTCAGAATAGTGGGGGGGGGGGGGTCCATCACTCCCCCTTTGTTGCAGCCTCCCCAGTCCTTCCTTAAGTGCCTCCCAAGTGATCATGTCTGGCTTCAGTTGCCCCCCTTCTGAGGAGTCTTACCCATCACAGACTAACTGACCAAGCATTGGGGGCAGGGGAGGAAGCAGAGGCAGTGTTTGCTACCAGAGACAAGCTTTGTCTCCTTGTGACTCACATTCCAGAGGTCGCTCACTCAGCCTTAGTCATGGGAGGCAGTTACAACTCCTGAAACCAGGCAGAGCGCTTCCCAACACTGTATATAAAACATATTTTTTAAAAATCATTCTATATTTAAGAAGAATCATTCTGTAACACGTATGCAGGATTTTCAATTATGTGTTTATTTAATAATGGGTTTCCAAAAAAGTAAGTTTTAAATAGCATCATAATAACTTTTGACACAAAACTGCATGAGTTATAAGGAAATTTTATGCTTACTCCTACTGACCTCCCACTCCAACTTAGAATCACATGTCATTAGTTGTTTCCAATTCTTCTGAAGGTTTGACTCAATAGTATAATTGTCTTCCTTGTATAGTCTTACAGAAGTCAAAGCTCCGAGTGTTCAGGGGGCCATTTAAAATGGTCCTCTGCCTGTACCAGAACATTTTGTTTCAATGTACTTACTTATTTGGAAGAACGTTTAAGAATTCCACAATTCATTTTAGCCTTGGGCATTAGTAGTGGTCTAATCTTGACAGAGTTTGAAATTGTATCACATATTCACACATCTGAGATCTATGATTTATATTATGTTTTAATTTCTCTTTTTTTTTTTTTTGAGAGCAAGAAGAACAGGTACAGAAATGCCTTTTAGAGAGATTTCCAGCATTAATAACCCTAGGCTATTTTAAGTCACAGTCCATCTTTATGGAAGAGGTACAGAGAATATACAGCATTTTTTTTGCTCCTAAAATTATGAGCCAATATTTCGCATACAAGTTATTTAAAGAAAACAATGCACTCACACTTCAAGAATATGCCTAAGGTCATCACTTCCCTGATTTTAGCCTTTCCAGCTGTGCTCAAATTTTCAATGAAATAAAAAAACAACAACATTCCACTGAATTTATCAAGTCCAAGCAAAGCATAACATTCAAGCTTATTTGGTGGCTGGCAGTACATAGTCCTCCATATAAACACAGTAGATGCTCAGTATTGTGGGCAGAAACTGAGGAGGTCTGTAGGTGAGATGCAGGATCCACAGGCCTGTACAGGAATGTCCCCAGCAACATTATTCATAATAGGGATTGGAGGCAGCCCTAGAGTTTGTAAACAGGAGAATTAATAAACAAATTGTGGTAAAACCATGACAGAATATTTCTGTCATAAGAAAGAAAATTACTGATATACCCAACAGTATACTGATTGAAAGGAGCCTTACACAAGAGTATACATTGTGTGATTCCATTTTTTATCATGTTCTGGAAAAAACCTGATCTATGATGGGAACAAAAATAAGAACAGTGGTTGTTTTTGGAGAACTGAAAGCAATACGGTCTGTTAAGGGACATTAGGGAATTTTCTGAAGTAGTGGTAATAGTCGATACCTTGGAGTTGTGGAAATACAGATGCATGAGTTTTTCAACTCAGAAAGCTCATGTAAGCTGTGTTTTTTGCATAAAACTGCACAGACATTGAACTACAGCTAATGATATGCATAATGAAGTATTTAGGGGAAAGTGTACTGACATCTTCGATCCACTCTGCAATTCATTAAAAAAAAATAAGATGAATTGATGGATGTCTAAAGAGATGGATAAACAGCTGGTGAAGTGATAAAGCAAGTATAGTAAAATCTTAATGGTAGAAATGAGGTGATGCGTGTACAGGGTAGGACAGAAGTAGCTTTACAGTTGTGACTACATAAAACACAGTTTATTCTTGTATTATTATTCATTAATTATTGTATTTTCCATATAAATAACTGTAGACCTACTTTGGCCTCACCCTGTACAGATTGTTCATTGTAATATTCTCTCAACTTTGCTGCATGTTTGAAAATTAGGGTATTGAAATGTTGAAAACATGAGGGAAGAGTCAGCCTCAAGGAAAAATACCTATAAATCTATAGATGATTTTTCTCAAGAAATTTTAGCCTACTGGCATGCCATTTCAGGTATTGAAGTACATGAAAACATCACAAAATAATGTTCAACTGCCAACATTAGCCTGAAGGTGATTGAATTCCATTCCTATTAAGCGTGTCTGAATTGTGACCCTTAGTAAGCCAGGACACCAGAACCTCTTTTTCCTACATAGTACATATTCTTAGGCTTTCTACTTACTTCAATTGTACCTCATTAACTGATGTGAATATTTTTTTTAAAATTTAGAAACGAACAAAGAAATAGAAACATTCAGAATTACAGAAATTTTCTAATAATTCCTAATAGATTTGTAGTTTGCTTTTTAGTCACCACAGGTATTTTGCTTTCTGGGAAGGAAAAAAAAGATTTTTTATTGCCTCTCTCTTAGGAAACAACTATCCAGAAATCGTGTAGTTTCTCTCTACTGTAAAAAAAAAAATGTAATAATAAAATCCAGTCATGTGACTTTTCAACAATAAGTAAAAATACTTACACTGATTTATCTAGGGCCTGGTTTGTCTCAACATGATTCCTTCAAACACCTCATTACTCAGCTGCTATTTAGTCTCTTGAAGGCTGTCGCCATCTGCACTTTCCATAGCTTTTAGAAGTTGAAGGACAGTCATATGTGGGCTGTGGGATGATTGATAGTAGAGTCACATTTTTGCAGTTTGTGATGAGAATGACATCTCTCTCAAGACACTGTTCATTGTGAGCCAAGTTCAACACATCCTTCTAAATGTTTCTTCTGACCTAGAGTTATCGGTTGCGGAATAAATAATCTTTCCATACCGTCTTATAAAACACCCAATCTTTATGCAATGTTGTTTCTGACCCTTGAACCTCCTTGGCTGTTCTATTTCTGCTATTCTGACCTGCAAGGTCAAAGATGGAGCTGTTTTAGCAGTAACTGGAATCTGTGGCCTCAGTTTGTGCTGGTTTGTTATTGATGGAGTGTAAAAAATGTGCATGCAATTGCTTTACCATAATTCCTCAGGATTGATCCTAGTAATATTTAACTACCATCCATTAACAGCTAAGAAATTTGGTGCATATTTATTCCTCCTCCTATTACTAATAATAAATACCACTTCATCTTTCTCTGTTCATTATGGTTGAGGCATTTCAATGGTTAACTAATCTGTTATCTTTTTCTTTCCTTCACTGTATGTATACCTTAGTGAGAAGAAGAATTGATTTTGTGTTTGCTATTTTTTCATCCTGTTATTTCTTGAATTCTGTGCCAGAGAGATGGGGTTCTTTGGACCAAGAAAAAAGTCTAACCAAGCAGGATAAATAGCCTTTAGTGTGTTATTTACTTGATATGATTTTTTAAAAATAACGAGGCAGTTGGAATTCCAAAGACACTAACAACATATGCTCCATTTAATGTCTTTCATTGTTAAAAGTCAGACTATAAAAAATACCTTTTTTAATAGGAGCATCTATATAAATGAATTGAAATATTATTCGGTCTCTACAAATAACTTGTAATGCATCCCAGAGAAAATAAATTTCCTTTTATCTGTCATTGTCACTAAAGCCAGGATCCTTGAATACATGAGTCATATGTGTTCCTTTATGTTTAAGTTGTGTTTCACTCTCCATCTTTTGTTGTTTTTAAATAGTTTTTACATTAGAAAAACCTGCATGATTGTCCTGATTTACTTCATACCACATTTATGTCCATGCATGCCATTGTCATGAGGACTCACACAGAGCTTTTATTCAATTAGCCATCTAGAGTAAAGGGCCTTTTATTCTGAAATATTTGGTATGCTAGGGTCTTGAGTTTGTCTAATTGCTTCATCATAATCTGATTCTCTGTCTATAATATGTTGCTATTGTTGTTTATTCTATACCCTCATAAAAGTCTGTTTTCATAACATAACATCTTAAAACTAGGAGGGACCTTGAATAAGACTCCTAGAATAAAATACCTAGAATAAGACTCCTCTGTTCTAATTACAAAGAATGAGATGAGAGCCAAAAAGCCACACTGAGAACCCATCCACGCTGGCTTCTGGTCTAGCTCTCTACTTTTTGAAGAGCTATACACATTCATGATTTTAAACTATTCTTATTCCCATCGCTTTAATCCATAGGTAAGGCAACTATTAATTTTCTGTAGATAAAAGAGTTATATTATGTACACTAAGGATTTCAAAGAATTTCTTTGAATTTCTTTTTCTCATGGAGTCCCAAAATATAACTTGGAAACTATATTTTAAAAAGTAATTTGAAAGGCACTGTGTAATATTATCTCTGTGTGTGTGTCTCTCTCTTTCTCTGTCTCTCTCCCCCTTTCATGTCCTCCTTTCTCTTTCCCTTCCCACGTGTCACCCTGGTACTGAACTGGACACTAAATATACAAAGATGGATGTGGCAAATACCCTGATTAAAAAACACGTGAAGTATGAGCTCAGCAAAGGGGAAAGGAGACTTAGAAGAATGATTCAGAGATGCTTACCAAAGGAAGCTCAAAGTCCAGTCACACTTAAACTGGACCTCCAAGGATGAAGAGAGAATAGTACGTGGAGGACAAAAGAGAGATCTAAATAAATATCCTTTGCAATAGCCAGATGCCAAGTCAATACATTTCCTTTTTATGTTTAGTTGGATAGGTCCTAAAGGTATTGATTGCTACATTTGCTATCACAAATATATTCATGTACTCACCTTTTTCTCCTCTTCAGATATGTTAGTGGTAGTTCATATTGCAAGGGTTGGGAGAGAGAGGTGACAAAGTGGAGAAAATGGAAAGATGACTAGACATAGAATCTGAGACCTGCTATCACCTCCATCCCTCTCTAGGTATCTGATCCTGAAAATATTTAACTCCTCTTAGTCTGCTCAACCATTAACTGAGAGGGCCTTTAACTGTATGACTTTATAACCTAATGATGAATAGCAAGTGAGAATTGAGGAAGTACTGTAGACAAGTATATAGCATTATACAGATAACTATTGTTATGCACATACAACACACAACAGCCCTCTGTGTGTATCGCAGTGCTCATGTTCATCTGTACATCTGGGGAAAGGAAGAAGCCTGTACTGTATTCCAAACCGATAAACACAAGTCTATTCAATGCATAGGATTTGTACATTTTTATATGGTTCTTTTTGTCCTTGTGTATTAAATGTTTGCTCTTTCTGTTAGGTCTGAGATTGTCTTATACATCTCCAACTTCCCTTCACCTAGTATACTGCCCAAGAATATGCTGAGAGAAGGGAAGCCAATGTAATCTTCAAATGGAATTATTAAGCCTGAATTATATAGCTAACAGATCAACTTATCACTGGCTCTAGAGACATAATTTTTTATTTACTGTACACAAAGCAATATTTGATTGACAAGGTTAATTTCCAGTGGGTTTTCTTAGTTTATACTTTTGACTAATTTTGATCCTTTTTGAACATGCATAGGAATATTCTAAGCCACATTTCATTTCTTCAATATGTACTTGCTAGACACCTACAATATAAGTTTATGACACTGAATTAGGTCTTGTTCAGGAAAAGAAGTACGTAATAGAAGCCTCGCATCAATAGTTATCAGACCATACAAAATACTATGTACCTAAGAATAAGGAACTCAGGCCAAAACAGTACAGTAATTTAAAGGAAGAAGAGATGTGGGAAGGTCCAGGAATGATTTCATAGAGCATTATAGGAATCGCTAACATTTACTGAATGCTTGCTAAAGGCCAGGCATTATTTTAAACTTTTTTACATATTTTACTCAATGCTTACAATAACACTTGGGTTAAATATCATTGTATTCTCACTTTAAGCACAAGAAAATTGTGGCTGAGCTAACAGAGCAGAGCCTGAACCTCCACAGTCTTATTCAAACACCTGCACTTGTAATTACTATACTGTGTCTTTTGTAATTGAACGTTCAGGGCTGAGTCAGGTGTGACTGCTCAGAGAAATGGACACTGATAAAGGATGGGTGAAGAGTAAGAGAAAAGGTTTGGAGATAGGATAAGAACAGCATAGTTGGGAAGTAGGGTTCCTGCTGAAAAACAGTGGGAGCCGAATCTGGAAAGCTCAAATGGACTCATACTATGAACTCTTGAGTAATAGCTGAATAATTAGACTATGTTGTTTTGGCTGTGAAGACTGGTTACACATTTTCAGTCAAGTTTGAAAACATTAACACAGTGGAATGTAGAGGTTTGAAATAGGATCTGTACCTTCTGGCCACTGAGGCAAATGTTATTTCTTCAGAAAAATCAAGTGTGCCCATCTCTGCAAACCTGGCTGTCAGCTGCCTCACCAGCATCCACTGCATTCTCCCTAACATTTCCTGATTTCCATTGGGCCATCCATGAGTTTTCATGGCTAAGCCAACCAGTGACATTAAACCCTATGATAAGAGGGGCAGTCAAATTTGCATAATAATCTTAGGACTTTACCTTGGGGTCTTTAGGCAAAGGATGGAGTGGGGTGTGGATAGGAGCCAGCTGTGAATGAATCCAGCCCACAGGGCCAGTAGAGCAGGAGGAGAATAATAAATGGGGTGCAAACCCTCATGAATCCCACCTGCCTGAAGCCCGTTCAACTTGTGGACTTTTCAGATAATGTGAACCAATATATTCCTTTTGTTTTAAAGTCGCTTTTAGTAGGTTTTCTGTTATTTGCAATGAAAATCACTCTAAGAAATATAGTGTCCAATGCTAAGGATTTCCCCTTGATTTGAGGACCTACAAAAGCTCTAACTGAGCTAAGAAGCACAGCTCAGAATGATGTCTTCTATTTTTATGACCTCCCCTCTTCATGACCTCTGCACTGGGACAAATCCCAGTGATTTTTCATAGTTCAGCTCTGAAGCTTCAAATCCCGAGTCAGTATCTTCTGTCCCAACACTGATGAAGACTCTGCTCTCTGAGCTTTTAAAGCTCCGGGTGACCAAGGAATGGCCGTATATCATACCCAGGACTCTCACATCAAAACACCCTGTGGAGGCCTCATCCTGTTCAAAATGACAAATTAAAATGAATCCCAGAGCTTTATTCTCTAAGAACATAAGACATGTTTTCTTTTGGAACATTTCATTGCACTGTCTTCAGAATCAAGCTCTCTAAAGAATGTTATTATACTTTGAGCTTCTTGACACATTTCCTAATAATTTGAAGCTTCTGACACTTACACAATAAAAGATTGTGCTTCTGGAAAAAAAATCAATGAATCTTTTTGGCAATCGTCCTAAATCTGTAGAGATTAAATTCACTTCCCAGACATTGCTATTTCATATCAAACACAGAGTCACGCAGTATAATTAAGATAGTTGTAGAACCATATATTTCATGCCCTAGCTGTCTGCTTTAAACTATCTTGGGAAGTTGAGAAATAATAGGGAAGCTACATCTTAGCCAGAATAATTACATTTGCTAAGCAGAATGGGATGAGCAAGAGCTGTATAAAAGAATGAAACAAACCTACTAGAAAACCAATAATTTCTGCATCCATTCTGATACATAAATCTTGCTGATAAAAAAACAGAAGAAGAAAAAAGGCTCACCTCCAGTAACAGCTCCCAGGAGAATGGCAGCTATTATCCCCTATTGAGTTGGTACTTACCATACAGAGCCTGAACAATTCATACAGAAAAATAAACCATAACATTCCTGTTTATTATTACTTTAGCTGAGAGGTGGTGACATTAAACAGTTCTGCACTGCTGCTATCAATCAGCAGGCTGGAGATGTTCTCAGCATGGGGCTAGGACTCCGTGGAAACCATGCTCATCAAAGCAACCAGCTGTCAGAATTCCTCAAATTAAACTGTTATTACAGTAGTATTCATTAGTCAGTTACTAGCTATTAAGATATTTTTATATCACCACCATTGACTTTGGCTGATGCTTTTTAATATGCAAGTTATATATAAACATGATTCAGGGGCTCGTGGGAGGATGACAGACTCTATTAGAGCTTGGTGTCCACTGCCTAAAAGCTGCAGCAAAGGGCTCTGATCTTATCCATGCACATAGGAATTTTTCTGGGAAGCTGGATATTTGCTCTGGTGGTTGGAGTGGGGAGAGGGGTCATAATAATATATTTCAACACTAGTATTTGCCCAGCAAAGTGATAGCTTAACATCAAAAATTATAACTCTTAAAGCTGTTACTGAGCCCCTGATGACAGTGGTTTATGCTTCTCCAGCTTGGGAGTTTGGGTTTCCTTTTTGTCTGAGTTGCTGGGCACATGTTGAAGTTTTGCTTGAAATCCAGAGTCAAACAAAGGATGTCAAATGGGGTGTGCGGAGAAGTAAAGAGGAAAATCAGTGTACAAGCTCTGATAGAAAAAATATGACAAGAGTTGGGTTCTTATTAACTTAATAGTGTCCTTGGAATTTGGGAAAGTTCTTACTTAAGCCTCTGTTTTAGTTTCAAGGCAAATTTGACTTAAATCATCTAGAAAAAATTTGTGTTATTCACTGGCCTAGAAAGATTGATATATTACTTACATGCCTAGTGCAAACTCATTCACATGTAGAAACCACAGACCTTCTAGTTTTCCCCTTGCTTCACATTAATTCCCATATCACATATAGAATGCTAGTTTGGTCAGTTAAAATGCAGAATATTTAGTCCACATTGTTTCTTTTATAGATGAAGAGAGCAAGATTCAGTAAATTAGATTACTGGCACCAGCCTTAATTTTGTTTTCCTCCTCTCTTTTTTCAAAAAATATGTTGGGGCTCCCCATTCCACCTAGAAAACAGACCATTTCCTTGTTCTCACACACGCAAAGGTGCCAACAGACAACATATAAGCAACCTCTGCCTGTGCTTCAAGGAAATGCAGGATTAGCTATTGTCTCTGATGCAGAATCTGAGATGCCCCAAGGCTCATCAATGGGTAGGGGGTTGACTGGCTCTGTGGGAGCTGGTATGAGCCATTTGACATCATCTTAAAAGCTTGGGAAAGTGTTAAGTTTTCAGAAATTTTGTGAGTCATTGACATTGTGTTACACCACAGAAATTGGCAGATGTGAAAAATCTAGTGGTGGTGATTGTTCCTTCTGGAGATCGGTTTGTTATTCACTTACCAGCTTACCACTGGCTTGCTGCTGAGCCTCCTTTGCCACATGCAGACCCAGGAGAATGTACTCTGTTCATGAACTTTACTACAGCTACCTCATTAAAATCATTCAGTAAATAAATAGTTATTGGCCTGGTGCCATGGCACTCACCTCTAGTTCTAGCTGCTCAGGAGGCTGAGGCAGGGCAATTGCCTGGGCCCAGGAGTTCTAGGCTATGGGACATTATGCCAATCTGGTGTCTTCCCTAAGTTTGGTGTTCTCCCAGGAGTGGGTGACCAGCAAGTTGCCTAAAGAGGGGCTAACTGGCCCAATGGAGCAAGTCAAAACTCCTGTGCTGATCAGTAGTGGGATTTCACCTACAAATAGCCACTGCATTCCAGCCTGGGCAACATAGTAAGACCCCATCTCTAAAGAAAACTAAGTTACTATCTATGAGTGTTTACCATATTTCAGGCACTCTGGCCACCTGCTACCATTCGTACAGAACAAGAACTAATATGAAACCCACCATCTGCCTGTCCACCTCAATGGAGGCCCGCATCTTCCTAAAAGAAAAAATACTTTATAATCAGTCAAAGCCACTCAGAGAGCCACGAGCCTATGGCTTTGAGTCTGCAGCCCTGTGTCTGTTGAGAGGGGTACTTTTTCTCATTTTTGCAGAGAAACATGAGGGCCACCATGCAGTGTGCTGAAGACACAACAATGAACAAGTCAAAGGTTGCAGAGTTCACATTCTAG